TATATTAAATCATAAATTCAATTAAATTTAATGATTCATTGGACATTTAACAGGACTTCTCATGGCGTGTAATGTAGACTGGTATTAAATATTATGAGTATCGCGTACTGCGTAGCATTATTCTTTTCTTAATTGTGAGTTCATTCGATTTGTTTTATATGACTTTTTGAACCAACTTTCTCGAGATAACAAAATGAAATATATAACATTGCGATCACTGATGACAAATTAATCCTTAAATTAAGAGATAAGTTGATTGATAATTCAAATAGTAGATGGCGTAATATTAGTAACTATGCATAGCGCATGAGATAATATGTCAAAGAATAAGACTAGAAGCCATAGAATGCAATTCAAGTAGTGAGTTAAGATTGAAAGTTGGTGGGATAAGGTTGTTGGATATTTTTTTTTTTAAATTATTTTTTTGATATGGTTGTTGGTTATTGCAATGAAAAGTGTCAAAGAAGAAATGGCGATGACATCGTAAATAATTCGGAAAATCTTTATATGGAGATCTAGGAGAGGAGGGATTGATCATCTCATAATATGAATAAGGTATGTGACTTAATTGATAGGATAAATTGCCTAATATAAAAGGATCAAAGATAACTATAACTATACTCGATGAATAAGATAAGTCCTATGTTTCCATGTCATTTTATATTTTTTAAGCTCTCCTAATTCTTTGTTTTAAGAATACTCCTTTTTTAAACGTGCAAAGCACATTTAATATAGCAATAGAAATTATAATTAATGCCTTTTATATTTTATACTTAAATAATATATTCATCAAAATTATCTCAATATACATAATAGTGCAACAATCAAATCAATCATTTTTCTAAAAGGAAAATGTAACAAAAACAAATTAGCATTCTTATTGCTAATCTCAAACGCACTTACATTATTTTATTTAAAGAAAAACGTTTAGAATTATCATTTCATTATCGAGGATCAAGGAGGACGAATAATGTCATAGGGGATATGAATAAGAGCTAGTCACCGTTAAAGTTGCTATCTTCTTCCATCGATGTTGCCATCTCCGATGACCTCATTGTAAGTTTGTATTATTTGTGTCTAAAAAATGACTAAATTTTTTATAAATTGCGCCAGAGATAAATTAATATCCTACAAAAGGAAAATGCATACACATGGTTCTGTGGAAGCAAAATGACTCAATTTAAAGATGAGGAAATGAAGGTAAATTAATTACAAAAATTATATATATATATATATATATACACACACACACACACACTAAATAACTAAAGTTACAAAGTACAAATACGTAGGCTAGCCAAACATGGGCCAAATCTTAAAAGAAAAAAACTAAAAGTTGAAAAAAAAATAAAAAATGGAAAAACCTTTACCATGTAAGCAACAAAAAATCACTTTAACCAATATATACTCATCTTCTACCAAAATTCCAACGGCATAAAAAGGGTTTGTTCGAGCCCTAATTTTTAGGAAAGTAAATGTTTTAATATTGATTTTTTGAAAAATGTAAAAAGTTTTGAATTTAGCTATAATATTATTTTATTAAGACGATGTGTAATTAAAAATGAATTTGAAAAAAAAAAAGTTTTTAAAAACTGGAATTGAAACAATTCTACAAAAATAAGTTTTGTGAAAAATAATTTTTTGAGGAGTATGTGACTAGAAATAGAATTTTTTTTTAGTTTATGGGAAAATTATTTTATTAAAAGAACGTGTACTTAAAAATAAGTTAATTTTTTTAATAAAAAGTCAAACATCTTTAATAAATACGAGTTGATTTAAATTATTTTTTTTAAAAATAAAAAGTCAATCATCCTTAATAAATACGAGTTGAGTTGCATTGTTGGAAAATGAAATCCACCAAACTTAAAAGCCCGCACGCTTAGTATTTCACTTATAAAATTCTCTACAAAAAGCTACCCACCCTACGCACGGAAAATATTGTTAGGGGCATTATAGTAAACAACCACTCTTGAACCTCTCAATAATTGAAGAGAAATTTCGAATTATACACGCGACCTAGAAACATATGTTCTTATAACAAAATTAAATAAAATTGTAATATGTTGGATGCATTTTTTTTTCCCGTAACTTGTAATTTTTTTATTGAGCATTGTAGGAAGTATTACGGGATGTAAAATAAAAAAAAAATACACGAATGGGCCGCGAGCATACTATCCCTCTGTTTGAACTCCATTAAAATTTTAACGCATTTTTCTCTTTCATTTTTTCGACCATACATTCTTTAATAAATTAATATTATATATAAATTCAATATTTTTCTTTTTTTTTAATCACATTTCTAAAAAAAGCACTATTTCAAAATACATTTTTTTGACTAAAACTTCGTTAAAATGTGGCCCAAACACGGGTAACATAATAATTGGAAAATGCCCTATGTACAGGGCATTTTTTTTACGGAGGTTTTATAGGGGAGTAACATGGAAGTGGGCCCCATGTGAACGTTTTATTGGAGCCTCACTATTGTGTGTGTTCTGTGAAGTTTCTGTATGATTTTTCTCTGTAAGTGTAGCACCATTCATAATAATTTCTTAATTCACGATAAATAATAAATAAAAAGAAAAAGCCATTCCAAAACAAATACAATATTGAGCTCCTTTTTTGACTTTAATTTTTCCATTTTTAACCAAACATTCTTTTATTAAAAAATGTTTCCTGTAAATTCAATTTTTATTTTTAACCATATATTCTTCAAAAAATCTTTATTTCAAAATACATTTTTCCTTAAAATTTTATTTTAATGGAATCCAGACACGGGTTGAGATTTTTCCCGGAACGTGTGAATGATGGAATCATTATAAATAGTATGTCCTATTTATTTTTCTAATAAAATATGATACCAAGCTTCTTGTAATAGTAAATTGTCTTAACCCACCAGGTTGTTATTTGTTAGTCGCGTTTATCGATGAACCATTCACGTGACAATCAAACATTTTTAAATTCTCCAATAAATTAGAATACAGTATATTTGAATAGGTCATTCAACATTAAAAATCGAAAAAAACAATTACTACTGGACTAACTCATTCAAATAAAAAACTTAAAACCCATTAAAATAAACTTAAGATATGACAAGTTAGCTTAAAAATAGGCCAGTGCAAATAAAATTGGATAAATCTATCTGTACAATATTTTTTTTGCAATATTGTTGACAATGTTGTAGACGATAAGGAAGTATTGGTTGAAAAAATAAATTATTTTTTTAAACTGTTCAACGATAAATATCACGTGACATGTTTTCAACAATGTTGACAATATCATTGTATATCAAGCGCTATTGAATAAAATTTGCCAGTTTACTTACATCATGTCAACATTTTATTTTTGTTTATGCATTTTTTTTCCAATTTAATTGCTTGTTGAGGAATCTATGAAAGTTTTAATCTATAAAACAAATAATAATAAATGTTGAATAAATAAATAAATAATATCTGTAAATTTATTAAAATATGTAATTGAAAATAATAATTTATAAATCGTGTATATATTAACATTTGACTCCCATTTCATCAGCCGACCATCTCAATAGAACAAAACGTTTTAGTGCTACAAAACAAAAACAATAATACAAGAACAAGAGGGAGAAAGAGTAGAGAGAGCTGAGATATTATTAATATTAATAATATTATATTTTATGCCAGTAATGGTGCTG